AAAGAAAGAAAGAAAGAAAGAAAGAAAGAAAGAAAGAAAGAAAGAAAAGAAAAGAAAAGAAAAGAAAAGAAAAGAAAAGAAAAGAAAAGAAAAGAAAAGAAAGAAAGAACAAAATAAATAAAGAAAGACAGACAGACGGACAGACAGACAGAAAGAAAGAGAGCGAGCGAGCGAGCGAGCGGGAGGGAAAGGGCGGGCGCGTCTCTAGAGCTTGTGATGGCTTGTGTTCTCAGTCGCCCAAGTAGACGGAAGAGATGACAAGGAGTTCAAAGAGTCAAGTGACTACAAGAAGTACCTCAATGCCATCAAGGCAAAGCCAGCAGGCCAGCAGTGATTTGCAGGGAATGCACGACCATCGGTTTGATAGTGTAGACTCTAGCATAGGGCTACCGTAGGACTAGACTAGCAGTGCTAACACAGGAACGCAAGGAGTTTCCTGTCTGGGATCGTCCGAAGAAGAGTTTCAAGACCGCCTTCGCTTCCATCGTTCGTTAGTTCGTTTGCATGGGTTCGCGCTTGGCAGCGCTGCTGGACTCGTGGGATTTGGTTTCGCAGTTTTGGACATGAACATTTGGCTGGGAGCCTTTTCACAGGAAAAGCCAAAGCCAAAGCTGCGACAAAGGACAAGAAGAAGGGCCCTGCGCCACCAGCGTCAATGCCAAAAAAGCCAGGAACTGCTATGACGCTGTTCATGAAGCAAAACAAAGGTGCCAAGAGTTATTTTGGATTGACGTGTTGCATGCTGTGAAGTAGACTCACGGCCACATGGCCCCTTCGAGGTGGTGGGACTTTGGCGAAACAGAGTCAAGCTTTCAAGGAACTGCCTGAGGAGGTGTGCACTCGGACATCTGTGGGTGTGGGCGCTTTCCTCATGACTCAACATGGAGCACAAAGTGACGTACCTCATATCGGTTCAATTCGTCATATTCTTTTCTTGTTTGGGCAGCGTCCTGTGAGTGCAAGGAGCGAAAGAGGTATGCCGAGGAAGCCAGCAAGAACCTTGAAGAGTAACTTGGTAGTTGGAACGAAAGTCAAGAGATTCGTCCTGAGATGCATTTGTCCTTGTAATCCTCGGTATGTGACAGACAGGAGACGGGCCGTCCCTGAGACTGGAAACTACTGTAACTATCGTGACACTCACAGTGAAGCGAATCCTTCTTTTTGTTTGTGCACCCCCAACGTAAGTTGTGCAGAAAGGTGCATCGAGCCGGCAACACTTGATGCACTTGACAGCGTGCAGAGAGAGAGAGAGAGAGAGAGCGAGAGAGAGAGAGAGAGAGAGGGAGGGAGGGAGGGAGGGAGGGAGGGAGGGAGGGAGGGAGGGAGGGAGGGAGGGAGGGAGAGCGAGAGAGCTCCAAAGCTAAGGTACAATGAGGACTGGAGCTTCTATTGACTATACTGATTCGAGTGTCAGGTCGCCGTTTCCGGTACGGGCAGAACAGCCAACATGGTGCACGAAGACAAAACAAGGCAAACCTTTGTCCAGACGAAAGGTAGCACATTCCTTTGCATGTGCTTTGTCAAATATAGTCATGGAGCTCCCTGCAAGCACCCCAGGAGATGGAGGCTTTCAAGAAGACAGCTGAAGGCGCTCCCATTGACAGCTCAAGGTTAGAAGATGCTAAAAAAGTACTAGTCTACAATGCTGACAACCAAAGTGAAGAGGAATGGTTCCGCATGGTAGACTGCGCATGTCCCCTGCCGATCCTAGGTTTTACTCATTGCAACGGTATGGCCATTTGCAATCTTTTGCCATGTAAAACTGAATGGAACGCTGGCAGAGGATGTGATCTCTGCATGCATAGGCCCATAGCATGGACGCACACATCAGTCACTCAGCCTAGCCTTTAGCTTGTGCCTTCCTGGTTTGCTTCATTTTATTCAGCTTTTGCACTTACACTTACACTGATGTTGCATCTCAACAATTGCTTCGCGCAATGTGGCGTTTCCCGTGCAGGCAAGAGGTACTTCAGATTGAAAGCAGCTTCAGAGAAGAAGTCTCGCCGCCCGATGCAAAACAGTTGTTTGGTCTAGCTTGCTTGATGGAAGAGGCAGGAAGCTGCTGCAGCTGCTCCTGCCCGAAATCATCCGAGAGCTTGAGAGAATTGTGGGGCCATTCTGCATGAGTTGATGCCAGAAGATACCAAGTTTAGGGCAAGACCAAACTTTTTGTATATAGCATTTGGAGCAAAGTGCAAGTCTTTGTTTACACCTCTCACCACTTGCAAAAGCAACATTTGGAGGTCCAAAGAATGTGGCACAATCCCAAATTGGAGCAACTAGGGGCGACTACTTCATATGGTGAACTCAGTGTCGAAGAGTAACCAAAAACAGCATGACTCTGCTGTGACAACCGAGGTATAGAAACCGCAAAGAAGAAGTATTTGGAGGTTGGGCTGAGCCGGGCGTTCTCATGTGACACCCGCCCTGTGGTGACTCAGCATTTCACTCTCATTGTTGCAGGATGCCAAGCCGCCGAAGTCAGCGCCAAGCGCCTACCAGCTTTTCGTCCAGGTTGGGACGGGGTGCGTTGAGCCAATTGGATCAAACTGAATGTAGAGTGAACAGGGGAGCGGGGACCCATCCGCAATCATCCTCACAATGATTTAGATGAGTGATACTTGCTGGGGTCATGAATATTTGATATGTGCTTTTGATTCTAGAAATGGTGTAGGGAACCCTGGCATGAGACAGACTAAGATGAGACCAGGGGCATAGGGACAAAGCTCATTTACTCTCATGCTCGGCAACATGCGCAAGGAGAAGAGACCTGCCCTGCAATCTGCAGGAAAATCAATGCAGGAAGTCGCTAAAGAGCTCACGACAACGTGGCGCTTGGGCTCTCAGTGGTGCTCAGCCGTGCACTTTCCAAAGGCATTTGAAGACTCGAAAGAAAACCTGACGTTGTTGAGATCCCCCCCTTCACGGGTTATGACAAGGCTGTCGCAATCCCGAGGCAGCCTCACAGTCGAAGAACAGAAGCCCTTTGAGGAGAGAGCTGACAAAGCCAAGGCATTCGTTTGGCCTCGGAACGAAGCATCGTTTTAAAGCGTTCTTTGTCAGAAGGTTGGCTGTTCACTTGGGGGCTTCGTCACCGCGGGAGGCAGAGTACGAGGAGCAGCTAGAAGCATATAGGTCCTCACCCGGCTACAAGAAGCAGCTTGGCAAACCTTTAGAAATGAAGCAGCAATTGGCCATAATCAAACAATCAGGAAAGCCAGCAGGGCAGCTCTTGAAGAACCATTTTTGTCACGGATTAAAGAGTCATTCCTAACACATCGCCATACCACCAGCCGAGAAAGTGTACCACATCAATAGGTGTGAGCCTGTGACAGCTGAGCTTTGAGTATATGCACCTTGGAAGTTGCTTGTGCACAGGACATCCTTAGGATACTTAAGGATTATCAGGAACAAATGTGTCGAGCTCCTTATTATTACAACACTCCGCTCCCTTAAAATTTGCCAGAACCTCACCGCTATCGGGACAGTAACACCAGTGTGCGTCATGTCGCAGCAGACGCTTGCGGCTTGCGTTCGCTGAGCATTCCTCTTGACTTAGATGCTAGGGGTTCCTTGACAGATCGCAAATAGGTTTTTGTGAATTGACATGTCTTCTTACTGTTCAGACCGTTGAGTTGATGTATCTCCCATACCCGACCGAAGATGTGGAGGAACGGCATGCCGCAGATCCGAGGGGGGAGCGTTGACAAGCACCAGGACAGGTCCACCTCCACCTGCTGTAGCACCATCCCGTTTCACTGCCAGAACCTATCACCACCATTTCACATCCGACACATTGCTACATGGCTGCCGGCTACTGCGATCTGGCTACAAAGACCTACGGTTGACCAGTGGGAAACAGACAAGCCTTAGCCCAATCACAGGCAAAACGCACCGCTTCACGAACAGTAAGATTCTGCCTCCCCTCCCCTACCTTGACAACTTTAATGATGCACACTGCCAAAATTTACTAAATGAGGCTTCAATTGCCCGGATTGCTTCATTTTAAAACTTGGCCCTGCGCCCATGCGTCACCGGCCACTTCCCACATCAAGAAGCTTTCTTTCACCTCGCTGGCCTAAATCTAGATCTCCAACAGGCACGCAGGTATGCAAGAAGGGGACCTTGCAGCACCCAAACCATCCCAAACCTTTCAACAGCACTCAACATTCCATGAGGAAACTGGCCAATGTACAGCAAGCCCTCAAACACTCTGATGTCTGGTTATGATCAGAAAAGCACGTGTCGCGGACATGCGAACGGGACAATGCTCAATGCCCATGCATATCATTTGCAGAAGACCGGCAAATGCTTGACATTATGCTCCTTGCTTTGCGACGGAGGTGCGAGTCTAGCACGCGTCACACGGAAGGCAGATGCTAGCCTCCGTGCGAAAGGTCTACATTTGTCTACAGTGATAGCACTTGGTTTTGCGAACAGAGAAGCCAACTCATTGCAAACCAGGTTTATAGCATTTAGTTTTTCTTGTGTAGAGTATTTTGCGTACTTTCGTCGTTTTCTTCTGACTCTTTGCATTTTTCCTCCAAGTTAGTTTGCAGCCTTCGGCTTTCGACATTTTTAGTTTTGTGTTGGGCTGTTGTTCTGGATGGGTGTTGCGTTCGTTTCTTGTGTTAAGTTTTCCGAAACAATCAGAGCACTTTTTCAAGGAAGCTCCCCACGCCTGAGCTATCCTGCGTCACCTCTTCTAGCGGCCTCCCCCCCGCACCCGGGCCAAAAAACAAAAGAAAAAACACTGGTGTTTTGGATTCCCGACAGATGAAGGCCTGGCCTCGGGGTGGAAGGGTAGGGTCACACATCCACAGACCAACCTGCCTTAGGGTCCATAAAGGTGCACATGCTAAAAGACCCTCTGTCACGTGAAACCCATGCAACCCACGTATTTGCTTCGGGCATTATCAGCTCAGTAGATCAGTAGATGTATCATGATGTATCTTTCTTAGCCATAGCCATAGCCACGTGATTCTGGCTTGATGGGGCCGAGGTTCGAGAAATTCAAGTCGTCAATTAACAGGAAGCCAACAAAGAAAACGAAGAAGCCGAAGGCCTTGATCGGCAAGTTGAGAGGACAAACTCATCTCTTGTGTTCTCTTCTCGCATAATATCCATTTTGGCCACGGCAGATCTATATAGTGCCCCCCTGCGCAAGGCCAAAGCCAAGGGCCGAGCAAAGGCCAAGGCCAAGGCAAAGGCTATGGTGGTTAATCCGATGCTTGAGCTGGTGGACAGGTCAAATATAGCTTAGTGGTGTCCTGAATATAGATGCACATGCACGTGGTGTAGTGCGATGTGATGCAGAGTCGTGTAATTGACTGTGGTGTAGTGTCCAGAGTGCAAAGTCAACAGCGACACCTCATTGCATTTAGCAGCATTTTGGAAGGGTGTCAGGCTCATGTGCTTGAATATATGCCAGTTTCTTGCACCAGGGCAGAGGACGACAGAAGGAACCGGAAAAGAAGGCTGCCACTCAGAGTTCAATAGAGTTCAGCTGCGGCTCTATTTGCTATATAGTTGGATTGTTGCAATCTTCCAAAGTGAGGACGCGAGCAGATCGTTGAATGTATCATTGATGATCCAGAACCACAAGAACTCGGTCAACCTCTCATCCAAGGATAACAGCAGTACCAGCGATGTGATGGGCTCCGACAGTGACAGCAGCAGTAGTAGCAGTGGGTCTGACTGATTTGACTGAAGCCTTCGACAGTGGCATCAGGCGCCAAAGAGCACCAGTCCCTGCAAGTCTGTGGGATCAAAGTTTTCACTGGATGTGGCCCAAGCTACTTCAGGATTTAGCAGGCCGTGTGCCGCGGGTTTGTTTTCTTGATCAAGTGGAATTGTGTGGTACCGAGAAACATTTTGGAAACCGAATGTGGGCCGCTCTAATGAAACGATCCTCGGATTTGCCCGACGCGATCGCGTGGTCTCACATGTGGCAGAAGGAGTGTCGCTGATTCCTGCAGAACATGAGCTTGACTTGGCCAAGAAGCAATGTGAATGATGTTTGTTACTGTCATTTCCAGGGATCTACTGTCCTTCCAGTCTGGCACAGATTTGCCTTTCAGAAGGTGAGCGAGGCCTCAAAATGGACACAATCAGAGTGACAGAGTTGGACAGAGCAATGTTCTTACTGTATCAATTGTCGCTTGTTATCCTTCGTTGGTGCTTTGGCCTAGGGTTTCATTGATCCCACTGTCGACCTGGTTTCGGCAGTCAAGAGCCCACCGCGCGGGGTTTGCGGAAGGGCAGTGGTAAGCAGTGGGGACAGTGTAGGTGGCGAAGTGACTTCAGCGGGATTGGAATTTTGTGCTAGCCAGCATGATGAAGAGTCCCTTGTGAGTCAAAAGTGAGCTGACCCGTTGTGGTTGCCATCGCAGTCAAGCATCCATCGCCGGAAAGCGTTTCTGGCACAACTTTTTGTCGAGACGTTGCGTCGCAGAGACAAAAGCCACGGTACTTTGCACGACTGGATTGCTTTGCAGTTTGAACGCACAATACTTGCAGCTGTAACCTTCATACGGCTTATATATTGCTATTGTTCCACTTTTATACATAAAGGTTCAAACATGCACGCAATGTCACTTGCTCTTCTCTTCCTTTGACTCCTTGTCGGTCCGTCTCTCCTGCTTAATGCAGAATTAGGGTCGATGCCTTGCAGGTCTGGCTTGCGCAGTGCGACCAGCGGCGGTCTCGGACCAAGTGGGACAGAAGGAAGGCAAACACACATGCAAGAGGTATCTCCAGGCATTGGAAGAGAACGTGAAATTTGAAGAGTGTAATAATGGCTTACCGTAGCAGTTCAAACCAACATTGTGTTTGGCCTTTTTGATGGCGCTGCTTTTCACTAGTATATATATATATTTTGTTGAATTCTGGTGTGCGTGAGCCTGCTGTTCTATTTAATAATAGGGAGGAGCTGTACGTGCCGCAGCTGTCTGGGCTGTCCAGCAGCTTCGGGGACTTTCTGCCATGATTCGCTGTGATTTGATGATTTGATGACGGCGCGAGCAGCGAAAAGGCAGGCATTGTCATCCTATGGCTTCACCAATTATATACATAATAAATGAGGAAAACACCTGATACATATATATATATATTATATACACCTAAATATATGTATCTACGGCAGCTAAATATACGCACAGTTTCGTGTGGAAGATTCTTTTGACACCTTTGCCTCTCCCTGTGCTCCACTGTGCGCTCACGGGGATGGCCCTTATACTGCAACTGCAGCCTCAACTCTAGCGGTGCAAAGGAGGGCATGAACACTAAGCCGTTGCTTGTACGATGCCGTTGGTTTTTGGCAGGGATCGACTGCCGAGACTTTACAAAGTGACTTGGTTGCATTTGTCTCGCTTTGCCATGTGGTGGTGACTTGTTCATCGGGAGCTTTGCGAACTCAGGATGCGCTGTCCAAGAAATCGAAAGAGTACTGGGACTATGAGAGGATGATCGAATCTTGGTTTCAGATGTGGCTGTTTGTGTGCAGTGACCGATGCCCGAACTGATTCAAAACAGCCTTAAAGAGCAAAGCCAAACCATCGTCGCGCGCAATGGCAAGGTAAAATGGGGCGTCCTGGACGACTACGAAGTCACACAGAAGATCGGACGGGGCAAATATAGCCGCTACCTCAGCAAAAGATCGGCAATCCTGTTGACATACTCCCAGTAGTGACTGTGACTTTCCCAAGAGGCCAGAGGTCAGGTGGTGCGCCTCAAAGAAATCTATTCCTCACGTTCTTTTGACCGTTCGCAGGAGCAGTGCCTGGTTGAAGCATGCTTCCACGGGGGCCAATTGCCACATCTATATAGCCCTGACCCTCCCTCACCCTCCATCCCTCGCTCCAAACTACCTCAGAGCGGCGCCCGATTCTTGATGCAACTTTTTGCAGGGTCTTCAAGGCACGCCACACTCCATTAACTGCATACTACAGGTATCGTTGATTGAAGAGTCGCCAGTCTTCAATCTGTGCAGGATTAGGCATACATGTATCTCGTAGATCCCGAATTGTGTGAGCTCTTCCTTGTGTACTCATTGATTTTGAGTATGCCTGAGAGTTTCGAGTGCTCGCGTAGTGTTCATCCCATGTTCAATTTGATGAGAGTCTTCTCAGGTGAGGTGTTCACAGGATTCCACGTTCCGACCAACAAGAAATGTGCCTCTCGGCTTAACCGATACCAAGTCTCAGCCATCCCATGTCCTATCACTTACATTCACATGGTCCCTGTCCCATCGCCGCTTATACTGGGAGATGCAGAGGCGAGGCCGGTGAACACCACATCTAGGGCTCCCATGGCATCCCTGATTTCATATGGAGAGCACAGTGTTCTGAACCGATTGGGGAGGCGAAGCCCTAAAGTGGGTGAAGCGAGTGCGGCGGGCATGCGACATCGTGAGGTCATCAAAATTCTGAAGCCAGTCAAAAAGAAGAAGATTAAGCTTCTTGACGTTAAGAGTTCAAAAGAAAGGAAAGCAAAGACCTTGTTTGAAGCAAGTGTGCTCAGTTGCTTAGCTGGCCAGTTGACAGATCCATTCTTGAAACAACGGCTCCGTCTCAAACAAGGCGCGAGATTAAGATCCTGCAGAATGCAACGTGCTTGCACAAAGCAAAATCAATTCTAGTTCAAGTTTAGTCAGCTCAAATGTGGGTGGACCATGAAGGACTTCGTTGTCCGCGGGATTCTATTGCCCGACAAAGAGGAGGGCTACTGTAGTCCTTCAGCCTACTATCGCACACCTGATTTGCATGGTTGCTTGCCGCCCCATGCATGGAGAGAACCAAGGTAAGTGGGGGTCCCAACATCGTCGAGCTGTTGGATGTTGTGCGAGATCCTCTCACAAAAACACCTTGCTTGGTCTTCGAATGGATTGACAATCAAGATTGGAAGACACTCGAGCTGCATTCTCCCTGACTTTCACTTTAGCATTGAAAGTGGTAGGATGATTGCACTTTCTTCAGTATCTTCAGTATCAGGTGGACATTTCAACAGCCGAATTTGTACAATTCATACTGCCTTGGGGAGAGTGAGAGAGAGAGAGAGAGAGTTGGAATTTTCACTCTACAAGTCAGATTTCTGCAAATTCTGTATCACCAAAGAGGGGCTTGATGCTCAGGACGCTCTATCCCAAACTGACTCCCTACGACATCAAGTTTTATTTGTACCAGGTCTTGAAGGCTCTGCGACACGCGGCCACGCTCCTTCAGTTGGTCTGGGGAGTCCACGATCTTGTGGTCGGGAGGGCGAACAAAACATACCATGCTATACAGAGTCGCAGCGTTCGTGGATTTAATCTAGCAAACCTTTCACATTCACGCATTCACTTAGTACTGCCTAATGGTTCTGCAAGCGTCGCCAGACGCACCGCAAAGATACGCAAAAATATAGAGTGTTTAAGTCAATTGTTTACTGAACAAGAAGCTACTAGTAGCAAAGGGTACCGCAAGAAGCTACTACTCGTAGTAGTTCCTGGCCTTACTACTACTACTACTACCACTACTACTACTACCACTACTACTACTACTGCTACTACTACTACTATTACTACTACTAGTCGTGGCGAATAGCTACTAGTAATAAGTCTCCGAATCAATTGGGAACAATGGGCGTACAGCAGTGCACAAATACATGTGGCAAGAGTGCCCTTCCTGTGGCTTCCTTCCGACGCTTCATTGGAAAGGTGTTGATTACCTATAATTAACCTGTCCAGGTATGTTTTAGCCATACCTTCACTGCATAACAATGTATTTTTTTACTCCCAAACGTGAGAGCAAAGCTCCATGGAAACAGAGCATGTTCTGATCAGGAGCCGTGGTAGTGATAGTGTTTATAGGGTTCGGTGAGCTCTTTGCACGTCATTGACACTGTTCAGAATCATTTATTTAGCCTCAGCCACTTCCATTTCAGAATAATAGCATGCGCAGCGCAGCCTTGCGACGATACCCTGTGCATGGACCACACTGTGAGGTCATCGACGTGATACCCTCGACAGAAGATGTGAGTCATCCCAGTCCTCACGTGGATTTATTGGTACTGATATGAAGCTTCAGTATATAAGCTATATGCTTTTTGCCAAGACTCTGATTCTTGAGGCCCCTGTTTGTTGAATAAGAAGCGTCGTGGTCCCAAGTGTCTTGTGTCGTGGTGCGGTTCTACGCACCTCAAGGCCCTCGACTACAGCCACTCTCAAGGCCTAATGCACCGTGACGTCGCTGGACCTCAAAAGTGAAATCCAACCGTCTCAGTAAGGCACCTTGCTACTAGTAGGGAGAGGATGGAAAGCGGTGGAGAGATTGACAAGTACAGGGACCCACCTTGTCAAACGTCGACTCAACTCTTCTGATTCTTGATCATTCGTGTGGCGGGATAGGTTCATCCACGTGCAACAAACTGATGCTGGCCAATGTTGCCTTCAACCTCCACATGGCTGTATGATGAACTGTGTGTTCTCTTCAGCCTGTGGCCAGCTTGCATTGCTGTGCCACTCCCGTGTGCTTGGACTGAGGTGAAGCCACACAATGTCATGATCGACCACGAGAAAAGGAAGGCAAACGGCTGAAGTTTGGAGCCCTACATAGTCCCGTAAATCCACGAAAGTAGGTTGGAGGCCATTGTCATTAGGTTGTCAAGCCTTCAAGGCTTTTGCTGTCGTCATGGAAGTGATTCGGCACGCAGGTGCGATTGATCGACCCTCGGCTTTATGCGACGTGGTGGAGCCTATAGTTCCTATAGTCTCAGCCGTTGGCTTCTTGTTGGCCTCTCCCCGACCTCCGCGCCATTCTTTCGATGTCCTTTGCTCTAAGGATTGGGGCCTTGCGGAGTTCTACCATCCATTGAATGAGTACAATGTCAGGCACGGTTCGCATATGCGGGCGCCGACTTGTTGAAGGGTAGTAAGTGGGTCAATGGAACCACGAATAAAGAGCAAAAGAAGCAGTTCCTTTGCAGCAATGGCTTCTTCAGGGTAGCTTCGCGTCACTACAAGGGCCCTGAGCTTTTGGTCGATGTGGCTTGCCGTATTTCAGAAGCGGGTGCCGGTTCTGCCTTAAGCTGTGCCAAGCGCAAGAGCTAAAGATGCATTAGTTTCCTCAACTCTGTGGGCAAACTAGGAGCAAGGAGCTACCAGTAGCTCCTAGCTCCTGGCATTACTACTAGGAACAAGAAGCTACTAGTAACAAAGGGCATCGCTACTAGGAGCAAGGACGCTACTGATAAGCAATTCAAAGTGGACTTTTCGATTTGTGTGGAGCCGGTGCGATGAACACCTGGTCTTGAAAAAAATCCCAGCACGAGCCAACCAGAAAACTTTAGCTTGCAATATCTTCATGCAGATGGCAACCCTCCACAGCATCTGAGGACATGCTCTATGATTATTCGCTTGATATTTGGAGTTTTGGCCACTCACCTAAATTCTGCAATAGACATGTATATGCTTGTATCCACCTATATTATATCACCTACATGCATATATACATAATATATTCATAAACGCAATCCGAAATGTTTGTTTTCGGTCTGACTGGTCACTTTGCAGGCTGCATGCTGGCAGGGCTCACTTTTCGCAAGGAGCCATTCTTTGCTGGTGCCGACAATGTCGACCAGCTCTACAAAATCGCGAGGGTGGCACCTGAAATTGTTTGCACTGGGCATGCAAATGTGACTGACAAACAAAAGACAAAAGTCAGAGGCAGTTGCTGGAATGAGAGACGGGCCTGATTGTTTTGATGCAGTCACATAGTGCCCTCTAGAATGATTCGCTACCACAATAAGAGGTGCTGGGCACTGATCTTCTGGAAGAGTACCTGGATGCCTATGATCTTGAGCTGGAACTGGAGGTCGAGCAGCGTTTGGGGTGACTTGCCATATTTTGGTGCCATCTGTTCACTCATTTCAGTTTCCAGATGTCCTCCTACCTGAGGAAGCTTCCACGGAAGCCGTGGTCGTCCTTCAAGAACAAGGTGCCATGTCAAGATCATCATCGAGGGAAGTTGGCACGGCCTGCTGTGCCATGCACACAAACCACCTCTTGAGCGTTTAAAGATTGCACGTTTGGGCTACTTTTCCTCCCGGCCTCAGATTGACGCACCTAGCACATACATGCATACATGCGTATCACTGTGCAGCCTGGGCTTTCCTTGAGTGTTGCACCCATTGTGAGCAATGGTTTTTGGCTGCTGTGCCTGCAAGTGAGCCAAATCTTTCTTGTCAATTTTGTCCATGATCCGTTTGACTCGTATTCACCAGGAAAACTCTGATCGCTGCTCCCCAGAGGCTAGGGTGGCATGAACACGCATCGCAAGTCCTGTGTCAAGGGACCACACCATAAGGCACAGACCTTGAGCCGTTCTGACTAGGCACTCGACCTCATAGATAAGATGCTGCGCTACGACCCGGCTGCACGGATCCTGCCCAAGGAGGCTCACGTTCACGGATGTAGAATCAGGGCGAATCGTTTGGCTCAAGCGTAAACCTCTTGAAGATTCTTGATAGTCAGGCGATGGCGCATGCCTTTTTCGCGGATGTCCGGAAGGAGAAAGAGAAATGAATAGAAATGAGCTTTTGCTGGGAAGCTAGGTGGCTTGAAGGGAGCCATACAATTGCCGAGCCAGCACCATGACACCCTTATACTTATACTCAAGCTCCATGACACTGCACTGCAACCTTGTATGAAAGCCTCTGAGAATCCACCGCAGAACATTTGTTGTCTAAGTTGCCTGCGCATCCAGCTGCCAGCTAGCAGCTAGCTGCGCACTTTCGGTACTGGATGCGTGACACTATTATTAGGCTTATAGGCAAGTGTTTTAGCTAAATTTAGACACTCTACAAAAGCTCTACTGCAAAATCGATAATTTCCTTTTCAAGGCCCACAGTTGATGAGTTGATGAGGCTTGTATTTCGACAAGTGGTGTTTCTTGCTGTGCCAAAGGCTTGTTTGCCACCTTGCACGTGGCCTTGTGCAGGCATCAAATCAGAGCCTACCAGCGTCCTTGCTCCTAGTACTGTAGCGATGCCAGGAGCCCTAGTAGCGAACATTGCTCCTAGTAGTAAGGCCAGGAGCCCCTAGTAGCTTCCTTGCTCCTGGGCGTATAGCGGCAGTTTGTTTTTCAACCAGTGGTTCTTGAGGCTCACAGCATTTTGAACAAAGCAATTGTGCGTAGACTGGGATGCCAGATGTGGAAGCGCTCATCGACGAGCCTCTTCGGCTCAAGCCCCCCCCCGAATGGGGGTGGAAGAACTTGGCAGCTGGGATGTCCGGAGGAGCAATGGGTGTAAGCGAGGACAAGGTGATGCAGCTGTTGGCGCAGGCCTTGCCGTTTAGAAGCAGCAAGCCGCCCTTGCTAATGTTTGATTCACAATACCAAGGGGGAGTTTCATGTGCTTTCATTTTGCTTCCATTTGCTTTCTTATGCTTTTTGCTGGCGTTTGTTCTTTGTGGCTCCATTTTATAAATATGGATACTGACTATGATTATGGCTCCGAAATCCTGATTTTAGGGCGAATAAAAATTCAAATTTGACAAACATTGATCTGGATTTTCTGGAAACTTAGACTTTTTGATTCTGGATGACCTCCCCATTATGATGGTGCACAGATCAACTATGGCTCTGCAGGATGGTTCACAGGTCCAGGTTCTTTTATGCTTCTGAACGGGCTCATCCGCTGAACAGGGTGGACTCCAGATGGCTCCTAATGATCCTGATGATCTGGAAACTGGAGGGGGAGTTGAGAGACAACATGTTTTTATTTTAGGCAATAACTTCCGACGTTGCGCATTACCATCCGCAGAATAGAAAATTCTCCAGACAACCTCCCCAGCACTCGTAAGGATATATATATATACTATGCAGAACTCTCCGAGCCCAAAGAACGCGAAAGGCGCTGGCACGAAGGACCAAACACATGCCATTGAGGACAAGAAAATCATCAAACCCAAGTATGGCAATTTTCGTTGTGTTCGTCTTATTCATCGTTGTGACCAACGGCATCCATCGGAAAAGTCTACGTTCAGTTCATGAGTGTCACCACCTGGATTGTGGCTGCATCACGATAAAGAAACCATGCCGTTCGGCTGAATATCAGGCAGACTTCTGGCCATATTATCGAAAGATATCGAAAAGCATAGAACACAAAAAGAGCTTAAGATAGCTGAAGTGTAGACATGTAGGCGCCCTGACTCCACAGATGTGCAGGTTGCGCTGTCGACTAGCACGCTCCTTATCAGAGAGCCTAAGTCAACCTATATAAGTCAAATTTTGCAAAAGGCAGACAGCTTGGAGGCTGGAACCTTTCCACTTTGTCACTTCTAGGCTTTGACACCCTGTATGCCGCAAATGCTTGAGATGATCGAGTGCCCTGAAAAGGAGACCCAATAAAGATGCTGGCTGAAAATATGGAAGCGGTGCCGGCTGGGTCCAAGCGCTCTTTCAACTTATGCAACTGACAAAACTTTAGTGCAACGTGGCAACACGCACCGTAGAGTTGGAGCCCGCCCTGCACCGCGTGCCAACACAAACGGGCATCCCGTGGCATCCGTGCCAGAACGCTCTTCCGGACTCTTGGAGTCGTGAGCACGAAGACGTAGAGAGCTGGCTCCTTTTAAACATCTGCAGCAGCTTTCGGGCGTGAATGCAAAAGACATGCTTCTGCGGGCTTGAGTGGGTAGAAACCCAAAATTCAAGGGGAAAGGAATCCAAGTGACTTGAAATGCACGTTGGGCTGGATTGCACCTTCGACAGGCCGGCCTGGCACATCAACAACAGTTGCAGGCATTGAAAGACGAGAGGGACACCGAGAAGGCAATACTTTTGGCCACTTGTCTTACCGCGTTCCCGATGGTTCCCGGTCTTTTGTAAACGCTTGGCAGGTTCCTCTAACTCAAACGTTTCCCAACTATAATGATTCAGTTGTGCGGCAGTACGGGGTGAAAGAATCGCTCCAAGCACCTGGCGAAGAAGCCAGTTTGACTAAGCTACTCCATAATTGTTGCACATATATGCAGAACTTGAACTTGACAAATATCTTCAGGGTCCAGGCATTCTTGTTTTATGCACTTGTCACTTGCGGGCTCAGGCAGAACTTGAAGATATGCGGAGAGGTGGAGGTTCTGGAAGGCACTGTGCCAAGCCGGACGGCAGCTTTCATAGGGCTCCAGAAGTTTCAGTCACAAGGATTCACGTCAGACGATGATGTCAGATGATAGGAAAGGTAAGACAGACTGGCAAAAAATTGAGACGTTCTGCAGATTACCTTGTGCAATCTCCAGGGCTGCCAGCCCTTCAAAGCAGCTTCGGAAAAGTGGAACTACTAAAGGACAAGTCTGACTTACTTACTTGACTCAGTGAGTGTTTCAGTGCTCCTTGACCCTCAGCCAGTTTTGATTGTAATTCAAGAGCCAATGAAATCATGATACAGATCAACGAAGTGCTGTACCTTGTGCGACTACACAGGACAGCAAAAAAACGACAGAAGCCCGGTGCCATCCGAGTTGGAAGAGGTCAAGACATTGTCTCGGCAAGATAGTCGGTCATTGACAAGACAAGGCGGCCTTGATTTGTAGCGGTGAGTGTAGGCAGCTTACCAACACTCCAAGATGCTAATGTGGACATTGCTTGACGTGCCCTTGTGAGGATCGCAACGCTTCAACATGGCTTGGTCCTATGAAATTGACACGGATCCGATGCTTCACGAGGCCACAGACTTGTCAGTTTGTGATGCTCGTTTTGGTGCCAGGGTGGGCCCAGCTGGACTGCTGGAGACCACGCCCGGTGTCGTTCCACGATGTTCCACGAATCTCATTCTGAGTGTTTGTTTCAGCCAACAGTTCTGACAGCATATCCTTGCGACAGGGGAGTCATGACTCGCGGATGAAGTCGGATCGCAGCACACAGCCAGCATCAGGCCATGCGCTGGGTTCTCATTTCATCACTGGACAACATTCTCACCAAGACTTAAACAATTCTTTTCATGCTGCAAAGCCTTGCCCTATTTTCTGCAAGGCGCTCCTTCCTTTTTCTATTTTCCTCCATATTCCCCACCTGCCTGCCAGGTGAGGGTTCCTAGATTTTATCAGGGCTGTCAACTCCGCCTTCTCCCTCTCTTCCTCCTTCCTTCGCTGTGAGCTGGGCACCACTGGGCCCGAACCGCGAGGGCCAGATTGCAGTTGCACCACCGGGCCTGAACCAGATAGAATGCCAGAAGAGATGCCAAATAGACCGCCAACAAACATGCAAGAATGTATGCCAGATAGAATGCTCAGAATACATGCGCGATAAACTGTCAGAATACAGGCCAGAAGGAATGTCAGAAAACAAGCCAGATAAAGGCCAGAGTACAGTATATGCCAGATAGAATGCCAGAAGATATGGCAGATAGAATGCCAGAATGTATGCCAGATAGAATAGCAAACCATATGCAAGAAAGAAATAATGTCAGACATGTGCCAGATGGAATGCCAGAATATATGCAAGATAGAGTGCCAGAATATATGCCAGATAGAATGCCTAGTTTATTCAAGATCGAATGACAGAATTTATGCCAGATACAGTGCCAGTAGATATTCAAAACAGACACTTCTTTGGTGATGTTGAAGCAATATAGCCATCGGCTATCGGCAGAGCATACTATAGTGCCATGACGCGCTCGAAGTACACTAGTTTTTTGTGCTTGCAGTTCTGCTGTCGCACATGCCTTTGGGCACATGTTGTACAGGCTCGGACATGTCAGAGTTTTCTTCTTTGGCCGGGTGTGTGCTATGCACTGAGCATGTTGCTAGGAACAAGAAGCTACTAGTAACAAAGGGCATCGCTACTAGGAACCCGGGCATCGCTGTTACTAGGAGCAAGGACGCTACTAGGAGAAAGCACGGGACACAAAGTTGCCAGCCTTGCCCTCCAAAGGCAGATACAGTCCAGCATTTCTTGACAGCCCCGGAGGCCGGAATATCTCGCTCTCGTTCCTGAATTCACAAGAGCCCGAACCTCCAGCCCCCTTGCAGAAGAGAGCAGCAAGTTTTTCTATTTTTGGACCGTTCTCACCTCGCTTATTGTGGGCCTTGTGAGTCTTGACTGCTGGACCTCCGTGATCTCCAGTAAGGGTGCACCGACAAGAATGGACAACTTCATGGAGGACGGGGTGACGTGCGAGGTGAAAGACTAGACTGGGCTCAACCGGTGGCTTTTGGGGCAGTAGTGCAAGCCTACTTGTACATTTGTTCAGCAGCCTCGAAAGTGACACAGTGGTGGTCACTGGTGCTGGTGGTGTAGTGTTCAAGCAACACATCCAATATGTATAATTGATCACAATCCTTCAGGTACTGCAAATCGAAACTCAGCTCATCATGGATGTTTTTGACATACAGCCCGGCTCAAGATAAACCGTCCATTGCCCTGCTTGCAGCAGCTTGTAAACTATATACATAAAATTCTTTGGGCATGCTGATGCTTCTTTGCTGCTGTGCTGATTCAAAAGAAGATGAGATCACGATTGTGAGCAAGAAGAAGGCTTTCGCAGAGAAAGATGCTGATGGGGACGGTCTTTCCATGCTGCATGAGAGAGAAATTGAAGTTATACCTTCCACGGACTTGCAGAGGGCAGGGACAGATGGTTTCAGAGAGGAAGAAAGCACGATTGCCTCACAAGGAGAGGTTCATGAAGGGAAGGCGGCACCTTTGTGTGGGGAGTTCATGGTCAACATCAGCAAAATCGGTAAGATTGGCTTTAGTGTGGAGGCACTTTTGGATGACTATTGTATTGTTCGATCGGTTGATCCAGGCAGCTCGCTTGATGCCAAGCCCTATGACCGCCTCTTGAGAGTGAATGGGCAGTGCGCCACTGCCCGCAAAATGGCGAAAATGATCAGCGACAATGATTCACTGGAGCTTGTTTTTCAGCGTCCCAACAAAAAGGACATCATGCTTCCGAAGAAAGGCAAAAAGGCCGGCTTCAACATCGATTGTCAGCTTGCATCTGTGGGATTAGTGATCAAGTCTTTGGCAGACGGTGGAGCTGCCAAAAGCTTGGAGGAAGGAACCTTCAAGCCGTACGACCGCATCATTGCAGTTGACGGTCAAGAAGGTCCTCCTTTGGACTTGATGAAGATGCTGATCAAAAGCGACTCTCCTCTCCTGACAGTGTGTTCCTATTCATAGTAGCCTCACTTCGCATTTTAGCGTCACTTGGAAAGCAGAAAGGGCCAACATGGCCTACGAAACCTAGATTGAGAAGAGCAACGTCTCTTCGGGAGAAGCTCTGTGTTCCAAAGATTGCGCCGGACACCTGAAAATTAACTGGTTAATATCAAGTTCATCCAATTGATGTCAACTGTTCTTCACAACTTGGCACATGTGCCTTCTTACTTGCATACGTGTTTGCAAGAACAGCCTAGTGACAGTGACAGTGGCATTTTCGGAAGGAGGCGGGCAGCCTGAGAGCTCCTGGTGTTGAAGAGCAGGAGCTTTCAGTTTCTCATCACACATACAAATCCAGCCGCATGGCTTCGCGTCATCTCATGGCCTTGACAAGAGGAATGATCGGAAGGGAACACTTTTTGGTGACACCATGTTACGTCGGGTTGTTGATGAGAAAGGAAACGTCGAGCATGCAGACATACTTGGGCTGTTGCCATGCCACTTATGCTGTGCAGCTAGCCAAGGAAATTCACAATACGATGGTTCTCAGCAGGGAGGCAAAATGCGGAGCAGCATTCGAACCAGCGTGCGTTCTGAGAGGCCAGCAGAACTTGACCTGCCACTTGGCAGAGGTATCAAGAATCAAGATTATCTCGGGCCTGTGAGTGTGTCACCGATACATACAAAAGGCAGCGACAGGACATGGTGTTCTTTGGGGTGCACTAGGTAAGCTGTGGTACAAAACAATCATTAAACAAATATACACCCCAGATTTGTATGCAGGTCCTCCAGTCCGGGATTTCTGATGCACATAGAGGAATGCTGTCCCTTGCGTTTCCTTTCTTCGACTCATTGCAGCTCCGAGGCGTCCAACGCTTCCACCCACACCCATGGCCTGCCACAAATAGTGCAAGAAGAATGCAAATCCTCTCTCGTCAGATTCAAGACAATACCAACTCTCGTGCTATCTCCACTGTCGGAGTCGAAAGGTAATTATGGGCAGGATAGAAATTTGGTGTGCGCTATAGCGAGCAAAGCCCGTTTTTGGGCAAGCTGGCACCAAGCCACAGGCAATTCAAAGGGGTCACTATGAGCAAATCGTGTGAAACTCATGCTTGCAACGTCACCGGCTGCTGCTTGAGGCCAAAGGTTCCAGACCTTTGTGACGTTTGGGAAGCAGGTCTCTTGGTCATAAAAGCGGGGGGAGACATAGGCAATTGTAAGGCCCAAACCTGGAAGTACTCGTGGCTTCTTCGCGCTTGTGGCCCAAGGTAGGACTACCAGCAAAGCTCGGGTGAACTTCGCTTCGAGAAAGCGTGCCCCTATAAGGTTGGACGGATTCGAGAGACCAGAATCCGGACATCTGTTGCACAGAGTTCCGCAGAACACAACTCCCTAAACTGTGACTTGTGCCTCGTGTGAATTTATGGCCACTGGCCAGAAAAAAAGAAGTGCTAGACTCTATAGACAAGTGGCACTTCTTGTGCTCTCAAGCTGCAACCCCGGTGAAAGGTCAGGAATGCTTCAGACAGCTACTCCCATGGAGCAACTTGGCATCTTCGTGTAGCAACCCGTGGGCAGGCCATACATCGCCGCTTCCAGCCTTGTTACTGCTCCTTTTGATGAATTGTCCGAGGCGCTTCTTTCAACAAGGACGAGGTCGCTTTATCTCATACATGGTTCTGCAACCACATTGTTCTCGACGGCTTGTCTATGAGGTCTTTGGCACCTTGCCAGGGATATTACAGCTGAGGAGATTGCAAAGTGAATAGACATTGCGTGCATACATGCCGACTTTTGCAAGCACGGTTGGGCAAACAAACTGACGCTCAAACACAGGTTTTGGATGAGGATTCCTTGGGTGTTTAACATGGTTGAAACATGCGCTAGAAGTCGCATGGCCCAGGTTGCTTCAAGAGTGGGGCCTTCACAGTATCGGATGTTGCTAAAGTCAGCACAGGCATCCCCTCAATTTGATACGTTGACCACTTCTCATCAGGGCTTTGACAAAGTGACTTGGAATGCTGAGGATTACTTCTCATTTGCTATGACCTGATTTGGCTACCAGTCGAGGCTTTTGATCCCGAGAACACTACCTTCGCAACTTGGGCCATGTGTTGCGGAGGTGACCTTCGAATAGTGAACCTAGGACCTACCGTATTCAGTATTCTCTACCCGCATGCTCAGATTTCCATAAGCATTTGCCAAGTTACTTTGTCGTTGAATATCGATATGGTGTAGCCGTAGTCATCCCAAAGGGACAAACAGAGGCGTTTAACATTGGTGCATTAATTCTATTGCAGTATTGCAAGGTATATTATTGGCAGGGTGGGGAAGTACTGGCAATCTTTGCTGAAGTGCAATGTGACAACGCGACCTGTGGTCACCGCCAACTTGCATCCACTGCACATGTCGTTGCCCAGGGTTCAGTTACGAAGCAGACCGCAGCAACAAGGTACTGGCGGAGTAGAAAATTAACAGAGTGCACTTGCCTTTGTCCAGGAGAATGGCACACCACTGGTAGAGCTTGGGTCTGTCCTACTACGTGTAACAGTCAGTCAACAATCCACACATATGAACACTATTTTCAAAAAGGCCTTGACTAACCATCATCAATAGGATAGACCCAAGGTAGAGCTATAACCTGGCCAAATCTGATGGGAAGCATTTTTAAAGGAGCTCATGACATTTGCAATCAGAATATCCCATCAAGTCAAAACTATGTCGACGCAACAAGAAAGCCTTACCAAGTGCAGAAGCTAGTAGTAACAAGGGCATTAGTTAAGTTTCCCTAAAAAACTAGGAATCTAGGAACCAAATCAGAACGTGAGCTATCCCGCGTCTGGTAGTTAGTAGCTTACTTGTGGGTAGCAGCTACCTCTTCTACTAGCTACCTAGCTAGTTCCTCCTAGCGGCCTACCCCTTTTTAAAAGATGCGGTTTGACATCCTGGGTGGCAGCCCCAAGATGTCCCAAGCTCTGATGCAACCCCGCCAAAAGCATTCCGCTGGAAATGTCGCACCACGCCATTGCCTTAGGCCAGACCATATATTGTTTGCAATTTCCTTTTCTGGCGTGCTCACCCATGTGCAGGGGCACCATCTCATTTGTGCATTTTTTGCTAATTTATGTGTTTTTAATTCATCAAGCTTTCCTTTGACAAGCTCATACACCATGCTCATGCGCCAGGCTGGATGCATAATTTGTGTACAAACCTGGTCACAGCTGTTTGTTTAGCCACCAATTCCGGAGTCTGTTTGAACGTATGGCAGGGCTGGTAGCCGTGAGGTGGCTTTGAAAGCGCTTTCTGTACTTACCCTCTGTTATATATTTTCGCCAATTAGGTTGGAGGCCGTCGCTAGTAGGGTGGAGGCCATCGCTATGAGTGAGAAACAATAATAAAGAACACAAAGAAGGATCTAATGTCTAATGATATGGCTTGCTGAGGCAGAGGCCATGGCCTGGATCACCAGCATCTACTGGTTGCTGGATATCCCAGCCTCCTTCCTTGTGGGATACGCCATTCTTGAGGCCAAGTGTTGTGCAAATATGCCGGGAAAAAGGAATTGACAAGAAGGGAAAACAAGAAGGTGCAGAGCCTTTGTGTTTTGTTTTGTCCTTTCCTTGTCAATTCCGTTTTGTTCACAAGTAAGTTCACTACAGTGACTTTTGTGTGTCCGCTTCACTGCCTGGCTTTCCCACCAGCTTGCAAGGAAGGGACGGTGGAAATGAGGATCACGAAGATAGCGCGCCGCTACTTGAGAACATGGTTTTTCTTTGACCTCATCATAGTTGGCCACTCGAAGTTGAAGGGGCATGGCCCATGCCAGTCGGAGTAGAAAAGTCGTGGGCTGCTTGAAGATGCTCTCGCATAGTCTCAAGAAGTTTCTGAAGGGAAGCAGGTGCATAGGCTTTTTGCAACCACTGTCATGTTGGAGTTTGGAGTGATATGCGGACCTTATGGGTATACGGTATACGGTATACAGTACACTCAGTATATATACAGTATACATCAAGATTCAATAGTTGCAGTCCTGTTCGAAAGATTCAAATCCGATGGGCTCAGGAGTCGACTGGGGTCTCCAAATATGGACCTTGCTCCTTCTGACTCAACAAGACTCCGGTGTCTTGGGCGGCACTGTGGCACGTTCTTGGTCTTGATTTGGGATGCAAACACTTGGCGGGAGGGGGAGGGGCATTGTACTTTGAATAGGGCAGAGGCTCAGCCTGCGTTGTGAGGCGCCGAAGCTGGTGTGGCATTCTTCAGAATGGCAAAAACCATTCGGCTTCTGCGCTTTTTGAGATTGCTAAGACTTCTGAAGGCCATCCACTTTGTTGGATAGGACTTGCTGTGATTCCTTCACGAAGTTGAACATGCACAAGCTTTTGGCATTTGCAGGCGAGAGGCAGAATTAATGACCTCGTGGAGCAAATTCAGTGGCTGGGTAAACATGTGATCCTGCAACATCGACCCAGAGCCTAAACTCCAAGTTTGCTCCTCGGGACGCTTGAAACCTGAGGTCAGAAGCTTCACTCATCTTAATTGGCATTCTGAAGATGCTAGTTTTCATTGCGACTTGGGCTGTGAGTGTCCTGAACCAATGCTGGAAAACCACCACAGGCTCACTGTGCCCACCTGAACCTGAGTAAGAGTTCGGACGCAGAAGAGAAGGACAGTTTTCCATTTGTCGGGTGTGCGGACCGAAAAGCTTGCCGCGGTGGCGTCAGGTCACAGTCAACCACTTGGTTGCTTGCGTTTGGTATGCCATCGGGAATTATGCACCTGGGCATTTTCAGCCCATTTGCTTGAGCTCCCACGGCCTGGAAACCTTTGTTAGCACTGGCTTTAAGGCGGTCAACTTCATGCAAAGAACCCCCAATAAGGTTTGTTTCGAGCTGCCTTGCCTTGACTAGCTGGGAAAGTGAATCCCTAGAACGTAAGGTTCGGTTTTCTTCTGATATCGTCGACACGTTTCTGAGACACAGCGCTGTCAATGTAGCTTGAAAGAGAGACCTTGGGCAGCTGAGGATGCCTCGAGGCAAGACAGATGGATAGTAGAATACAAGGTTGCAGCTTGGAATGGATGAGCAGGGGTTGTTAGGTTGGTAGGTGTGAATAGTACTGTACGGTGTATTTGTGACATTGGATCCATTTTGCCGCCAAGGAGATGAAGAACTTGTTGTACCGATATTCAACTGCGCTGCATTGGTCGATCACACAATTCACTCCTGCATCCATGGAAGTGTTCCCACAGAATGAGTACGAGCGGCTATTCACTGTTTGTATCCTGCCGGCGTTTCTATTTTGACACCACCATGTTCTTGAAAGTGCAGGGCAACAGGTTCATTTGATTTCATTTGTCTATTTGGCCTTGTCACTTGTAAGCATGGGTGCAGCCTGCTAGCTTCAAATAGGGTTTGCACTTTGCTGACCAATAGCTGACCTGATCAGGCATAATCCTATCTGGAATGCTGATTTTCTCGTCCTTTGTGTCAGCGATAACAAATGCGATGAATCAATTGCGCAACCTCAACAGTCACCTGGCTCAGGTTTCGACTTCGCAGTTGACAGATCAAATCATACCAAGTAGAAATAGCTGCTTTATGCTGCATTGTGCTTCCAGAGGGTGTGTCGGTGTCAATGCCCTTCCTCTCTTTCCGTCAATTTGCCTCCACCCAGGAATTTGTTTCAGGGACGGGCCAACGTCTGCTGGAGTGAGCCTAGCAGGTCTACCTAGAAACATCGATTGGACTCTAGACTCTAGATGTCTCTAGAGCATTTGCAGGTCTTATCTTGGCCAGCCCGGCATAACCCCAAGAGTTGCGACAGTTTTCAACCCGCTGATGTTCACCTCTTGACACACACACACACACGCCGCTGGTGGGGTTTGAATGTGGGGAACTAGCATCTCGCTCGCATCCGACAAAGACATGGAAGTGGCATACTTGAGATGACCCGTGAGTGATGTGACAAGCCATGGCAAGCTTCACAGTACACATGCAACCATGTCAATATCACGTACCACAGGATGCGATACACCAATCATGCTGTAATAACACATTTTGGATAACTCCATGCAGCGTGTCCAGGTTTGACATGTCAGGTGTGTGTTCCGTAGTCACTGTAAAAAGATGCACTGAGAGTCAGGGACCTAAGTTAAGGACCATACACCACGAGCAACCCCTCACACTTTTGTAAGCATAGAAGTGGACATTGGATGATATTGGAATGTTTTTTGGGAACTCTGAGGCTGGCGTCATGAGCAGGAATCATTGCTGCGAAGATACCTGCGAGAAAACCTGGTGACGCCATCTCTGACGGCACGGATTCACAACTGCTTGAACAAAGCCATGCTCCTAAGCGGTGATAGGAGATCGCTATTAGGTTGGAGGCCATCGCCAATAGGTTGGAGGCCATCGCTAAAAGGTTGGAGGCCGTAGCTATTAGGTTCCTTAAAGTTTTTAGAGGAATGCACACAAGCCTTTGTCCACACGTTATGGACAAGCTTCTGTCAGACATGCAACCAAGTCAGCTTTGGCATTCTATACAACATAATTAGGTGGGTTCTAACTTGCCTACAGTGAAGGACAGCATGGTCGGCTTGTGAGGGTACACCACCATTCATGCATCGTGGTGAGATCCTGCAAAGATCTAGTCATACTCATAGTGGTGAGTGGGATGAACATTTGAGCTTGGAGATGCAGCAGGCATGGCATGGCTGTCGAGGCATGTTGCAGAGATACTCTCCCCCACGTGCTTCTTGGCTCCAATTGCCGAGGAAACAGTCACGGAGAAGAGTGCACGAGGATGAAATCAACATCCTCCAGCTCCTGCCTTTGAGTCTGAAGCTGCTCATTTGGCAGACAGAGGGTGCCAATTTTTTGTCCGGCCGCGAGATTTGCTTTTTCTTCTCTTGGCCCAACAGTACTTCCAACAAGCCACGTCCAAATAGTGTGACGCGGAGTGGGAAAGCGTGCTGAAATACTGTACATTGTACTTTGCGAATGCGAATCAATCAAATTGAGTATCCTGCTCATTTTGCACCTTGGGCCCTTCATCACTCCGGTGTGAACACTAGCCCAGCTTGCGCTTCACCCGCTTGCACTGGAAAGGTTTGAGCTTTCCAACGAGATCTATGCGCCAGCTTTGGGGAAGCATCCTTTCTTCACCTTTTGCTACAGCTGTCTACCTGCAGAGAGCAGGAAAATTTACAGCAGCTCACGCTGAATTTATACGAGGAATTGGCTTTGACAAGAACATGCAGAATATATTATGCTTACTATGCCCCCTTAGATCTTGCACAGCCTTTCGAACCTTTCAAGAATGTCTTTGTAGCGCCTAGATGACCAGGTGTTCCAAAAAGTCAGCTTTTTCTTGACTTTTTTGTGCTGAATGTCGCTTTGCAGCGCTTGAGGCCATGCTGTCGCACAGAAGTCTCTCGTGATCTCGCAGGAAGGGAGATCTTAGATCTGGCTTGATCTGGAGATGGCCTGTTTTTTTTCAAAACAGGGGACCACCAGAGTGCGTATATGTGTTTTTGCTGCCTACTTCCATCTATGCGCTATAAACTTCCCACTGTGGCCTGCATTCATGCTATATGTCTGTGAAAGCTGCCTCAATGTCCTTTGCACTGGAAAACAAACACAAACAGTCTCGAGAAAACATAGAGAAAACCAATAACAACCTAGGAACCGCCAAAAAACCTTGGGAAAAAAACACACAAGATGGAACCCACGAACCCGAATGGAAACACGATCGAAAAACTACATATGTCCAAATGACACTCTTGTAGGACACTCTTGTGGGACACTCTTGTGGGTCACTCTTGTAGGAAACTCTTGTGGGACACTCTTGTAGGACACTCTTGTGGGACACTCTTGTAGGACACTCTTGTGGGACACTCTTGTAGGACACTCTTGTGGGACACTCTTGTGGGTCACTCTTGTGTGGCACTCTTGTAGGACACTCTTGTGGGACACTCTTGTGGGACACTCTTGTGGGACACTCTTGTGGGACACTCTCGTGGGACACTCTTATAGGACACTCTTGTGGGACACTCTTGTGGGACACTCTTGTGAGACACTCTTGTAGGACACTCTTGTGAGACACTCTTGTAGGACACTCTTGTGGGTCACTTGCAGAACACTCTTGTGGGACACTCTTGTGGGACACTCTTATAGGACACTCTTGTGGGACACTCTTGTAGGAAACTCTTGTGGGACACTCTTGTAGGAAACTCTTGTGGGACACTTTTATAGGACACTCTTGTGGGACACTCTTGTGGGACAGTCTTACACTCTTGTGGGACACTCTTATAGGACACTCTTGTGGGACACTCTTGTGGGACACTCTTGTAGGACACTCTTATGGGACACTCTTGTAGGACACTCTTGTGGGTCACTTGCAGGACACTCTTGTGGGACACTCTTGTGGGACAGTCTTACACTCTTGTGGGACACTCTTATAGGACACTCTTGTGGGACACTCTTGTGGGACACTCTTGTAGGACACTCTTATGGGACATTCTTGTGGGACACTCTTGTGGGACACTCTTGTAGGACACTCTTGTAGGACACTCTTGTAGGAAACTCTTGTGGGACACTCTTGTAGGACACTCTTGTGGGATACTCTTGTCGGACACTCTTAAGGGACACTCTTGTGAGACCATGTTGAGCGACACTGTTGCCAAGTTGCGGGACACTCTTGTGGGACATTCTTGTGGGACACTCTTGTGGGACACTCTTGTAGGACACTCTTGTAGGACACTCTTGTGGGACACTCGTGTGGGACACTCTTGTAGGACACTCTTGTGGGACAGTCTTGTAGGACACTCTTGTGGGACACTCTTGTGGGACACTTGTGGGACGTGGGACACTCTTGTGGGACACTCTGTGGGACACTCTTGTGGGACACTCTTGTGGGACACTCTTGTAGGACACTCTTGTGGGACACTCTTGTGGGACACTCTTGTAGGACACTCTTGTGATACTCCTGTAGGACACTCTTAAGGGAGACTCTTGTGAGACACTCTAGTGGGACACTGTTGCGGGACACTCTTCCAACTCCCCAGATTCTCCGCTGAAGTTGTACTACAAGGTCGCCAGTTCTCAGCTTCCAGCCCCACAGATGCTCCACTCTCGCCTGCATTTCGCGCCCTGGACACGAACGATCTCCGCAGAGGGTTGCGCGGGCACCGGACAAAGCGCACTCTCGCCTGCATTTCGCGCACTCGACACGCGCGATCTCCGCAGAGGGTTGCGCGCGCATGGCATGGGACAAATCGCACTCGGCGCGCACTCGACGCGCACGATCTCCGCAGAGGGTTGCGCGCGTGTGGGACAAATCGCACTCTCGCCTGTGTTTCGCACACTCGACGCGCACGATCTCCGCAGAGGGTTGCGCGTCAAGTCTCCAAAACGAGCGTTTCGTACGAGACTTCCTCAAAAACTCACACGTCAAAGTCTGCAAAACGAGCGTTTCGTACGAGACTTCCTCTCGCGATTCCAGCCCCTCTAAACAACATCCGCTCACACGCCAATCCCAATGTGACAGCGACATTCACCTCTACCACAACTCACAACCTCACGATTCCCTGCACCTGCCACGAATCTTTCCGCATCCACACATCTAACGTGCACAAAGTACTGCGCCTGCCACGAAATGTCACCTCCGTCACACCTCGCAACCTCACGATTCCCTGCGCCTGCCACGAAAATCGCACTTCCACACCTCAAAATCCGCACACAGTACTGCGCCCACCACGAAAAGTGACAATATCATCTCATGTGAGCTTCAACAAAATTTGCACCACACCACACGTTTGGAATGATTTCGACCCGTTTTGAGCACACTCCCATCCACCAAAATCGCCATTTCAGCTGACAAGTCTGACGAAAACCGAGCTTCGATGCCACACCCTGAAACGCAAATCCCAATGGCACGGTCACATCCAACACCCCAAAAACACGACTCTCCAAACGCTAATCCCAATGGAACTGCGCAGCAATCTGCGGATCTCACAAAACGCTGCGCCTGTGCACCGAAATGCATCACGTTTCTTGCGCGACATGTCATTGTCATGCAAATCACAATGGAATAGCGGCGCAAACTGACACGTGACACGTCCATGAAAAGTCACTTGCAAAAGCTTCCCCCAATGGCAGCAAATTTGAGACGCGACGACGACGACAAACGACGAGAGACGACGACAAACGACGAGAGACGACGAGACGACGCAAGCCATGCAAACACAGCTCCAACCCCCAGACCCCCAACTATAAACGGGAACCCTTCGCTACGCATTCGGGAAAAAGAACAAAAAAGACCAATTCTCAGAGACTCTTGGCCGGACCCCCCGAATTCCTCAAGACTTCCCCAGAATGTTTTTTTGGTTTTTGTTTTGGTTCTTTTGTTTTTTGTTTTCCCAAGGTTTTTTGGCTTTTCCTAGTTTGTTACTGGTTTTCTCAAGGTTTTTTGTTTTTTCCTATTTAGGTCAATCTGTGTTCTTACTATTTCGTTCAACCTTCAAGTATGTGAGCCTAAGTCTCACCTAAAGGCATATGTTCTTTGCTCTTACAATGAAAGCATCTGAGCCCACCACTCCCTTTGTCCTTGCCGAAATCTCCATGTACAAGTCTGTGCATTAACTTCTGATTGGTATCAATGTTGACATGAAACTGTAATGATACCTTCCAATTTACATGAAATTGTTATGAATCTGTGTAAGCTGTAGTTCTAATTCAATGCATGTTGCTTTTGCTTCGGCTTTGTAATTTCGAAGCCTCCTCGACTTGTGCATCTTGTAGCTCAAGCGTTTACATCTTATTCTGGCGAAAATATAGTTTTAATTCCAATTCCTTTCTAATTCAACTCTCATCTAATTTTAAATAGGTTATAGTTATAGTTCAATACAAGTTTAGTTGAAATTCGGTTTTAATTCAGTTCTATCTTAGCTCTATATAACTAAAAACAAATTTCATTCTACCTAATTCTATTCTAGCTCTAGTCTATTTAGTTTAAGAAAACACATGCTACAAACCCCCGTGTTTTACAGTATTTTTTGCCCTGGGAGTGCTGGGAACAAGACTAAAACTCTTTTTTGAAGTAAATAGTTAGATTTTGTTTATTTACAGTAATCACTGGAAATAATGTACAAGCTTCTAATTCAAGAGCTTCCCTCTAGATCTCTGTGGATGATCATTTCTACAATAAAAATATATAAACTACAAAGCTTTCATTTCAAAAGCTTTCCTCTGGATCTCTGGAAATGATCATGTCAATTTAAACATGCTATATATATCAATATTAAATATTGTATTCTTTCAAGAGCTTTCATTTCATGAAAACACACATATATGGGATATCTACTTTCCCAAAGATCCAGAGGAACACTTTGAACATGCAAGCTCTTACCCGCAGAAATCTAGAATAAAGCTTTTAACATACAAGGTTTCTATATAGCTGTTTAAATCTAAAAATGATTACCTGCAGAGATCTATAGAGAATCTTGTGTAACATAAACGCGTCTATATAAAATCTTTCCAAATCTAAACATAATTATATGCAGAGATCTAGAGACACTTTTATGGCCTGCTTCTTTCCTAATTATTTTGTTCAAAACCATGTGAATGACTGCTTGCTGCTTCCGAAACAATTTAATGAACCTGATTCAGGGATACATAATGTATTTGTTCATATAGAGATTGCAGGAACAGATTCTATATATATGCGTTTATATGGAGAGGGGCTACCACTGAAGCATTTACCTAAAATTTTGGGAAAACCAAAACCCAGGCCCCATGTTAGAGTAGAGTGGTATCTTCTGCCCTGGAGTGAAAACAAGCATCTTTGCATATCTGTTTTATAAAAAACAAGATGGAACCCACGAACCCGAATGCAAACACGTTCGAAAAACTAATATGTCCAAATGACACTCTTGTAGGACACTCTTGTGGGACACTCTTCTGGGACACTCTTCTGGGACACTCTTGTAGGACACTCTTGTGGGTCACTCTTGTGGGACACTCTTGTGGGGCACTCTTGTAGGACACTCTTGTGGGACACTCCTATAGGACACTCTTGTGTGACACTCTCGTGGGACACTCTTGTAGGACACTCTTGTGGGACACTCTTCTAGGACACTCTTGTGGGACACTCTTGTAGGACACTCTTGTGGGATACTCTTCTCTGACACTCTTAAGGGACACTCTTGTGAGACACTCTTGAGCGACACTGTTGCGGGACACTGTAGGACACTCTTGTGGGACACTCTTGTGGGACTCTCTTGTGTGACACTCTTGTTGGCCCTCTTGTGGGACACTCTTATAGGGCACTCTTGTGGAACACTCTTGTGGGACACTCTTGTAGGACACTCTTGGAGGACACTCTTGTGGGTCACTCTTGTAGGAAACTCTTGTGGGACACTCTTGCGGGACACTCTTGTGGGACACTCT